CCGCCCCGCCCGCCGGCTGCTCGGTGGTGGCCCGCCCCTCCCGCGTGGCGCGTCGCGCCCCTCGGCTTGGGACCCAACTCAAACTCAACTCAGTCTCTCGCGAACCGCCGCGGAGTGCGCTCAGGCCAGGCTGTGCGCGCGCGCCCTCCCCGTCCCGCTCCGCTCGCCGCGTGCCCCGCTCCAGAGACGAGTCCGCTCTCGCTGCCGAACAAAGCCGGGGACCGGGCCGGCCCTGCCATAGTAGCGCGCGCGAGAGAGTTCGCGAGTGTGTGTGTGCGAGAGAGAAGACAGGCAATCTCATTTGGATTAAACACGACTCAGCGACAACTTTTCCTGTTTGCGGATTCTGGTGCGCGAGCGTCGTGCCCGTCCGCGCGAGAGCGTCCGTGTGTCTGATTGCGTGCGTGTGTCTGACCGTCGTCCAGCCGGTGTCCAGGAAAGGGCATTCCAGCCAAGGTAAGGACTGTCATGTGGCTCTGGCCGTGCGCCTGGCCGCGGCGCCCAGACTCCGGTACACGGGCGGGGCAAGACTGCAGGGGGGAAAAGTAAAACAATAAAAAGTACGTTCTGGCAGATACGTGCCTGCCCCGACCCGAGAGCACAGCGATCTGTCATTTGCGGCGCAACGACTGCTGCATCGCTTTCTTGTTTATCACTGCCGCTGTCGTTTAGTGTTTTTTCTCTCTTTCCTTTTCTTGCCCCGCTCGAGCGCCCCCGGCGGCGCAATAGGTAAACGCACTCTGGCGCTCTGCTGTGCCGGGCGATAATGACGACGTATCAGCCTCCGAAACGTTACGCCACCAACGTGACAACTGCTGGCGCGGGGTCGTGACGGCGCGCGTGACATTGGGTGACATCGGACGACACCATAAGGTGACACACAGCACGCGGCGTGACGGTACCCTCCTCCCATGCTGCTCCAGGAGGCCAAGGGCGACCCCCGCGGGGCGCGGCGTGGCGGGGCGGGGCGGGGCGGCCTGGTGGAGATGCCGCGGGGCAGGTGTGTGGCGCAGTGTGCGAAGCGTCTGCCGTCTGCTCCCCAGGGCCGCTCCGACCCGACGACAACGTACTTACTCCGCCAGTTATCGGCTGCGCCGAGGGTATCCTGCGTTGTTGCTGCTGCTGTTGTTGTTGTTGTTGTTTGCTGCTGCTGTTGCTGCTATTGTTGTTGCTACACCTGCTGCTGGTGTTGCTGTGCCTGCCTCTGCTGAGCTGGACGCGATGTTTGACAAGACGATGCGCTCAGCGCGGTGGCGGTGATCCTCTTGCTCGCCGTGCGCGGCTGCACGGCAGATGCGGCTCATCAGCTCTATACGGTTTAATTAATTGCGCCCCCTCCAGCCGGTGGCGTCCCTGTCTCCCTAAGGGGGGCGGGGACTGGGCCGGCCGCCAGCCCCAGCAGGTGAGGCGGGGGGCCAACACGGAGCGTCCCGTCTGTCAGTGCGCCGCCGAGCAGAAGGTTGGGAGGTGCGGCGCCGGGGCGCCGGCGGCAACCTCGGACAGGTGCAGTGTGTGTGTAAGGGTCTCTCGAAGCGCCTGATGAGTAGGCAACATCTTGCGTACAGTGCATACGTGTGCTGCGGGGTGGTCTACCCGGAGTCTCGCAGGCGCCGAGCTCCCATAATTTGCCAAGAGAATCTAAACAATAAAAAACACACAAGAAAAACGCGGTAAAACGGCCACAGTTTCTGGACGACCCTTTCTCCTTTCATCTTGGAGAGCGTTGGTATTGACCTCCGACCCGACAATGGTTCGGTTCGTCTAGCATGCCCAGCGCGGAGCAAAGTGACCTGGCGCTGAGGGAGCCGGGCCGTGTCTGCCGATTGACGCCCTCCTGCAAACTGCAAAACACCGGTCTCATGGCATATGTGTGCGCAAGCAGCTGCTTCAGCTTACCCCACCCGTCTGGCGCCGAAACTTTTCATTTAAAAAGCAAAACAAACAAAATCCTACAAACTCTCGAGGAGGCAATCACAACTCCGCGGTTCCGGATTATCGGAAGTGGTCTCACCGTATCCAGCAGTATAACGTGCGCTGTGCACCACAACGGGGAACTCGAAAGGTGTGCCGTAGCGGAAGTAAAGAAGAACAAGAATGGATGTCTAGTTGAGCGTATGAGAAACTGTCCTGCTCTTATTATTTCTCTCACCCTAAAAGTATTTATCTTGTACTTCGGAAATAAATGAACCGAGAAACTCAGAAACTAGAAAGTGGGAAATGTAAATGCAGTGATGCTTGATTTCTTTAAATTTGCCCCTCTGTTCTGAATGATGTTTGAACACGTTTGTTGTTGTGTGTGGTTATGACATGGAGAAATATTTGTGCCGTCGAATTAACACCTCCCCTGTCACACGCTCTCCACCCCCCACCCCCCTCACTCCTGCGGTAGTTCGCACCTGTGTCGTGGCCGCGTCATGTCACTGCTGCTGGGGGGCCGAGCAGGGCCGAGCGACCTCCACGGGGATCCGGAGAGGAGGAGGGGGGAAGGGGGAGGGAGAAAGGTGGGTCCATCAGCGTGAGTGATGCTGCCGGCGCCCATCGAACGTCCTCGCCGAGGACCCCAGGACCACCACCAGGGTCAGGTCGGGCAGGCGGGGCGGCCGGGCACGCAGGTGGTAGGTTGCAGGAGCTGCAGCACCAGCCGCAGGAGGAAGAGGACGAGGAGGAGGAGCGGGGCAGATAGAACGCTGCCGCGACTATTAATTCGCGTGGAGTACGTCAGGAGAGAGAGAGGAGGGGGGGGGGCATCGCCTCACCTTCATTCCGCAGTGACATTCACCCGCAAGATGTAAACACAGCCGGCGGGGAGGGGGCTGACCGCAGGTGCCGCAGCGCGAGCCGCAGCGGTGGCCTATGGGGCGCTTCCTGCTGCTGCGGAGAGGAAGGAGGCGGGAGAGATGTCCTTTTGATGTCATTTGAATGATGGAAGTGCCATCGCCTTGGCCGCGGACGGGACGCCTTGCCTGCTCTCTCTGCGGTGTGCGCCTGCGCGCCTCCGGGCGGCTCCGGCTGCTCCCGCGCGCGGGCCTCACGGTCACCTCCGCGGCCGGCTCATGCGCCGTTCCTGCCGCACTTTGGAGCGGGTTGTCCGCCGGCCCCGGCCGGACCCGGCGACCAGAGTAAACAAAAGGGGG